AAAAAAAGTAAAATAACATTTTAAAGTTTAGTCACAGGGAAAATGGGAAATCGGCATAGCAAGAAGGAATCTAAATTACCATTTTCACTGGATCAACTTAAAACTTTGGAAGACTCATTTCGTGGTTGCGGCCCAAACAACGAAAAGCTGCAAAAGGAAGATTTGCTGGTAAATTGAAATAACATGCTGGTAAATTGAAATATCATTAAAATCACAACTCGTTGCATATCGAAATAGAGGAAACCAGTCTTTAAAAACTGGTGGGCTTTAGATTGGTAACCAGGGCGTACGGAATTAAGGAAAATATGGGAGGTCGAGGGGGATCAACCAGTTGTCTGTATGAAGTTTCAAAGCGATTTGGCTTATAGATTTAAATTTATTTGTAAATTTAATAAACTTGTAACTTAACCATAACTAATTATGCATCTAATGTGCAATGTAACATTAATCTTTTTTATTATTACAACGCTTTTATCAACTTGCAATGTTGTATGTCCAGACCACCATTTATACTATAAATATAGCAAAGGTATTTATGGCAAAGTCTAGATATCAACATAGTCTAGATATCAACCTCGTTGTAGGTATCATATCAAAGACATACAATTAGAAGACTCTAGATGTCGCCCCGCCAGGAAAAGTTAAATATTGCGCCTAAAAATATGCACTACATATACTACAGCGGAAATGGACGACACGCCATTTCTGTAAATGATTAATTGCTGCTATATGCATGTATATACTCAACGTGAGCACAAAACATTTTGCTTGCATAGTCTTATAAAGGGTGAACACACCAAAACTGCGACACTTAGAAATTACTACCAGAAACAAAATAGCAGGCTTTGAAACTATTTTTTTTAATATTATATGACTTGGAAGTTTAGATGTTATTAAAATGTTAAAATATTAGTTATTATTTGCTCCATATGCAAGTGATCGGTATTTTCATCGCACACGCGCCATCATATTCTGCACGACTGCATCATCGACTTTACGCGATGCGCACAACTACTTTGTTTTGCACTCTTCAATATTTTTCACTGTTTCACCTGTTTTCTGCAAGATTTCTTTGACAATTGACCAATGTTCCCCAATAGGATGTGGCTCTGGGCTATTGGGTGGATTGCAGTCGTGAGGTACAAAATTGATGTTATTTGCATTATACCACGGCAATGTGTCCTTGGCATAGTGGCAGGTTCCCACGTCCGCCTAGAACAGTGGCCTACTCCTTATCT